GTACGCATGGCATCCTTCTGCTTCTTCGAAAGCACCTCATCGCCGTTTCATTCATGCCGTTAGCCTGAACTACAGGCGGGGAGGAAACTGGCTGGAGGATGAAATGAGAAAGATCGAAAACGCAGCCAGGAAGGATGAGTAGCGAACGGTGTTCATAGGGGAGTGGCAGTTGTCTGACAAGCAGGGGACGCGGTCTGTTTTCATCCCAGACGCCAAGGGTGTCCCATCTGCCGGACAGGAAGAACGCCTCAAAAGATGGATTGAGCATTTCCGGCAGCTGCTCAACGACTGCCTTCTAGATTCGTTATTTTTGACTTAATTCTCTCCAACACAAAGGGTTATTTCTTATCCATCTAGTAAGCTAGAAATCTCGAGGAGAACAAATCACGTGCAGTGGATCCAAAGTGGAGAAAAACGGGAATGGTAGAACGTATCCATGCTCCATTTCATAAAATGTAGAACTGCGAACATTTCCAAAAAGAATGGGCTGTGGAGAAATGTATTTTCCTATATTTAAACGCGGCCGAGTTTTGCTATTATCGTTGTATGACACCACTGGGTTATTCTGCAAAGTCCCGAGAAACTTTGCTACTGGGTTATCCTGCAAAGTCAGAGGCAAGCAATTGATGGCAAAATTTGCCAACCCAGGAGGCTTCCAGATAGGGTAGTCCTGCCGCGACCAAATTTTTCAAGCAATGCTGACCATTCCCGTTACCTTGGTTTGCCAGTTTCCTCGTTGTGTTTATTTCACTTCGTCGGACGATGCGGAAAATCTTGAATTGTTGTGGGATACCTGAGCATATCGTTTCCACTGTAAAGAAGGTGTTGGCAGGAACCATATTTGCTGTCATAGTAGAAGGAGAGCTACTTGAGTGATTCCGTATAAATTGGGAGTTCGTGAGGAAGATGTGCTTTCGCCTTTGTTATTCAACTTTATGTTCAACTTTAAACGGTGTTGTTCGTCGCAAAGACGAAAGCCTCATAGAGGGAAGACGCTGTTAAAGACAGCTGGCTAGATACTTATCTGGCCTAGAGTACGCAGATGACTTTGCCCTGGTGAGTAGTACGGGTGACGCGCTCTGTCACCAGATGGCGTCCTCATGCAATCAGCTGCGTATGCTGGCTCCTTCCTTAACATCTGAAAGTCAAACTTACGAGGAACTTATCCGGTACATCTGACCTTAAAGTAGAGGTCTCAAGCGGTTGATTAATTTAAGTATCTCGGTTCTTTGATCTCCAGCTTTAGTACTATTCAGCCAAAGTTAAATAGGAGGATCGCGCTAACGCCGAGTTCTTGGAAATATTTTCAATATTTAGGTTGAAAAAGTAGGTTTTCTGTCCCCAGAAATTCCTACCGTGCCTCTGCCAAGTCTGTTGTTGTAGGGCATGGATACAATTGTTATTTTGAAGGATTAAGAACGACGGTTCAACTTTGTACAGCAGCGTTTGTTTAAACGCTTAATGAGGGCTGTATGGGAGATCCACGTACGAGATGGCTGTTCTCTTCTGGGACGTCACTGGTTTGAGCATATATCCTTTAGTCTGTCTCGCAAATTTCTTGCGTAGGAACGGAAGCACGGCAGATATCAGCCAAGATGTCAGCATGAAAGATGGCAGAGCAAGGTAGAGACAGATCTGTTTTCGGAGCGGAATATTTTTTTCTGTGATACACTGACCAGTTCCTTACGGCAAAGGGGTTGAAGGGTCGCCGATACAGCGGACATCATAACCAGAGACGTTCTGCTTATTCATACTGCTTAAGGTGATGATCTCAACAAACACAGACAACAACGCCACCATGAAAGTGTTAGCAAGATCGATATTCCATCGGTTGTAAACATTTCTGTTGCTTTTCTTTTTTAATAAATGACGAAATATAATGAATTATGCGAGAGACAGTCAGGTGCGTACTTATATGTAAAAGTAGGAGTGTAATAACTGATAGTCCGAGGCGCGAAATTTCTTCATGATGTTTTTTTTCAGTAATTTCTCTAAGGACACTCAGTTTCGTTTCAAAGCAACTTTTAACCCTCTCTCTTGGTGTATATATGAGTCAGATAGAAATCTGTTTACGCTTAGCCACTGAATAGCATGTTTCACTTTAGTTCTTATCCGGCATTTGACATCGTTATTTTGTAATCGAAATTCAAGAGTGATGACATGATAAACTGGGTTTCGGGGAATTTCAGGAACAGTTCATTCTGATAGAAAATTAGGTTCACCTAAATCTGCTAGAACTCTTCTTCATTTACATCTTCCATAACCGGTTCTCCTTTCCATGTGCGGAGGCAGACGCCCCAGACTCCTTCGAACGTTTCAGATCCTGTGATAGAGTCTGAGTTTCGGCAGAAGACCTACCATAGTCTGGAGCAAACTCTTTCAATATATTTGCCGGAGGTTAATCCTGACAGTCCATTTGAACTTCTGCCGGTAAGCTGGGCATGCAGTAGCTGCGTCGCCTTCCTTTTCTAGAGACGTTCAAAACACATGCTCAAACCATCCAGGCTGTGACATCCCAGTCTGAAGAAGCAGCGGCTGTACAGCAAGCTGTTTCGGATTTCTATACTCCAGAATTTGTCGATACTCGACAGGTCAGCGATTCGCCTCAGAAAGCCCATTTCAGCCGTTTGTACTCGGAATCAAAGCTTTTCGGTCTTGGCCATCGACTTATAACCTAGGTAAGCATGGGAATGAAGTTCTACTTGAACACCGAGAGCTTAGCCATTAGACTCAGCTCCATTTTAATCACAATGGTTCAGGCTAGTTCATGCAGAATCCCACTGGCTGCTGCACTCCGCCGGTGGACTTCCTCAAATTTTCCGTCACCTGGAAACATGACCCTGAGGTACTTGAACTTCTCTACCTGCTCCAATAAATCTCCGTTTATCGAAGATTGGAATGGGCAGGAAAACGGTAAAGCACTAGACTTTTAGATGCGTTCACATGCGTGCCGGCCACATCACACGCAGCTGCGAACCATTCCAGAGAGCGAATGGCCCTAGCAACTGGCCATTGATCCCATATGTACGTAGACATGCCCACAGATTTTTCGCGGGGTCCGGTCATAGGCTTTCTCTAGTTCAACAAAGCACATGTACACCTGATGGGCAAATAACCACGATTTCTCAGCAATCTGGCGTTGGGAGAATATCTGATCAGATGTGCTTCTTACGGGCCAGAAGCCACACTGCTATTCTATTTTGGTCAGTTATTCCGCAGCACCTTTCTAGCACCGTTGCGTAGAGTTTTCCTCACAGGCCCAGTAAAATAATGCTCTGATGATTGAAGGTATCCCTGTGATACCCCTTCTTCAGCAGGGGCACAACAACCCCCGTTCTCCAGTCCTTTGGTGCCTTCATCGTAACCATTGCAGTAGACCATCAGATG